TGGGGGCAATATGCTGACTCTCTGTAAACCGCTTAGAGAGGCCTGAAAGGCCTATGAAGCGGTATATAAGTCTACTGCTAAGTCTACTGCTATTCTATTCTATTCTATTCTATTCTATTCTATTCTAAGAAGACCATACTAATTTATGATCCTGAGGTAGAGAAACAGGTTGGCAGGTGAAAGTAGACATTAATAATGGGAGAAATCTCTTCAGCTCAAAATACCTTTCTTCTCAATATACTTGTTCCCAACTTGCCTTTCTCTCATGTAATTGTAAAAGATATAGGATAACTGTAGTCCTCAACTTACAACAGTTCATTCAGTGACAGTTCAAAGTAACCATGGCACTTAAAACGTGATTTATGACTGTTTTTCACACTTACGACCATTGCAGTATTTCCATGGAAATGTGAATGAAATTTAGATGGTCGGTAACTGACTCACATTTGAGAGTTTCAGTGTCATGTTGTCACTTTTTGTCACCTTCTGACAAGAAAAACCAATGAGGAATCCAAATCCACTTAACAACTGTGTTACTAACTTAACAACTGCAGTAATTCACTTGACAAGTGTAGCAAGAAAAATCTTAAAAATGCGGCAAATTCACTTAACAACTATCTCAATGGAACTTTGGGGCTTAGTTTTGGTCCTAAATCAAGAACTACCTCTAGCATCAACCATTAAATAAACATAAAATCATGTTTCTTTCCTGAGCCATTGTTTGCCCTGATCCTACAACTCAATCCTATACATCTTTACTCACTCTTCAAAACAGCACGCTTTCAGGAAACTGGATTTGGGTATAACTTAAGCCAATATTTTTTTCCCTGTCTTTTCTTATTAAAACATTATTTTCATAGAACATCCAATGCAAACTGCCTCAACTACCTTTAAAAATATTGTTAAAACTGGTTAGAATTAAAATGTCTCTTGTGGCATGATTGCTAAACAGGGATCTTTAGGAAGGGCATGGAAGCAAATGACGGTAGGTGTGTGATCAATCACATGGCTTATATACTTAGCTTATATATACAAGCTCTGAATTAAGCATACAATCTGAATTAAGTTACAAAAACGCAGTTATCTTGGTGCAAATACTAAGTTTGATTCTCTGACTATCTTGAGATCTATCTTTGTCATTATTTGCACATGTCATTATTTAGGTGGTCATTGTGAATAGTTATGGATACCCCTAGAAAAGGGATAGACACTTGGATGGTCCCTAGACATTTTGGATTTCGTTTTCTTTTCATTGGTTCTTCTAACTCAGCAGCCCCCAAAGATTTCCGTGGAGAGACGTTTTCATAGACTGGAGGGTTTCCCCCCATGTACTGCCTGCATCCCGCAGATGGGGGTCACTTGTTTGCATGGCCTGGTTTCTGGCATGCCGTGGACTGCGTGACCCGTCAAAACCACGGTCCACTAAAGCGCGCCCGATTAACGCGCGTCCCTGACGTCATCAGCAGCGCGACAAATA